TTAGGCTGCCAGTGTAACTGCAACTAGATAGAGTGTAAGTTAATATATTGTACAATATGTCATGTTTGATGAAGTCAGCTGCTGGTCATCCTAATCTATGTTAAACATAATTTTCGTTTGATTCTCCAAAACCCACTACTAGATCATAATAAGGCGGCTCCACACTGATCTCATAATTTTTTCCTGAATCTCTAATGTATGCAAAACCTAAATCTTCTTTTGATCATCCCTATCCATTAGAAAGATCCAATGGGATCATTAGACATGTCTGCTGCCCTGTGTGTGTGTGTGTGTGTGTGTGTGTGCGTGTGTGCGTGTGTGTGTCAGCATACAGTAGGTTAATGATCCATTTTTCTCAGACACAAAGGCAGTTAGTCCCAGCCGCTCTGTCACCCTGCCCAGCCCTGAGAGAGAGCGAGAGAGAGAGCGAGAGAGAGAGCAAGAGAGAGAGAGAGAGAGAGAGAGAGCGAGAGAGACCTAAAGCTTTGGCAATGTAAACCTTTAATAAAGCCCAGATTGAATTGAATTGAAAGAGAGAGACACAGAGAGAGAGAGAGATAGATAGAGGGAGAGATAGAGAGAGAGATAGAAAGAAAGAGAGAGATAGAGGGAGAGAGAGAGACATATAATTAAACATGCCAATTACGATCTGGCTAAAAATACTTGAATCAGTTATAGAACCCATTGTCCTTTATGGTTGTGAGGTCTGGGGTCCACTCACCAACCAAGAATTCACAAAATGGGACAAACACCAAATTGAGACTCTGCATGCAGAATTCTGCAAAAATATCCTCTGTGTACAACGTAAAACACCAAATAATGCAGAGCAGAATTAGGCCGATACCCGCTAATTATCAAAATCCAGAAAAGAGCCGTTAAATTCTACAACCACCTAAAAGGAAGCGATTCCCAAACCTTCCATAACAAAGCCATCACCTACAGAGAGATGAACCTGGAGAAGAGACCCCTAAGCAAGCTGGTCCTGGGGCTCTGTTCACGAACACAAACAGACCAGAGCCCCAGGACAACAACACAATTATACCCAACCAAATCATGAGAAAACTAACAGATAATTACTTGACACATTGGAAAGAATTTACAAAAAAACAGAGCAAACTAGAATGCTATTTGGTCCTAAACAGAGAGTACAGTAGTGGTCAAACGTTTTGAGAATGACACAAATACTAATTTTCACAAAGTCTGCTGCCTCAGTTTTTATGATGGCAATTTGCATATAATAAAGCCATAAATAGCAGTAGCATTAATCTCACCATTGCTGTTTAATAATGAGAAAGTGACCAAAAACCTGGTTTATTTTTTAATGGAAGGATTTGTATGGAAAAGCCTAGTTGAAGCCAGCATTAGACGTTGTCATCCACATAATAATCGCACGTGGTTTTACCTCAACCGAGTAGCGCAACACACTTCAATTGAAGCAGCGGGAAACACACGAAAGTGGCCACATCTCTCACTAAAACTGATCAAAAATAAAATCATAGATCATTATAAGGGAGCAGGAGATCTTATAAATTGGCTACAATAATTACAAGGACTTTTCAAGCACCAAATTGAGGAAGTGTCAGATTTTCAATCCAGCACTTGAATTTCTGAGCTCCAAATTCAACTTCAAGTAGGCAACTTGTATTGTTTAAAAATGCAGGTGTAACATGGGAAACTAAATGTATTTGTCATGTTATTTCATTACCAGATCATATTGTGAATAAACCCACTGGGCTATGTAATAATTTGTCATTATATCCAGAATAATGAATAGGAAGAGCGTTGGGTGTTGCGCAATAGTCTATTCTCCACAATTGTGCACAGTAGACAAAAACATACGAAAACATGAACTCGTCGCCTTGATGCTTTCTTTGTTATAACTAAGGACACCCTGCTTTAAATGAAGCCGACAACAACAGATTATCAACCTTAATTCGCTCGGGATCCAACGTGGATCCAGACACAACTGTCTTCACCGGTGTAACAAATGCGACACCAAAATAATCTGAACATTCCTCACCAACAACTTTTTTTTCCAGCACTTGGGCCGTTGTTGCATCGCATGCGCTATCACAACAGCTGTCATTCAGAAAATTCCTTCCTGGATCAGATGATGATGATGTGTGAACTGTGAAAATATTATGGAGTAATTAAACAGCTTGGCACCAAATGCGCATCCAACAAGTATCATGCATCATTATTGAAGAACCACATTAATGAGTGTCAATGTAGGTTTTAAGTATCACGGTAATGTGACACTTTCGATTACAGGCATTCCATTTTTCAATCACATTTATTATTTTGAACTTGTGTGCCAATGAACACTGTTTTCTCCACTTCTCCCCCCCCCCCCCCCCCCCCCCTCCCTCTTTCCTCCCCCATCAACCCGCACAGCAGGGAGCTGTTTTTTCTGTGTGTGGTGTGTTGTGTATGTCTCACAGAGCTTTGGGGACCTTTGTCTGGTCGGAGGGCGGTGTTACGGAGAACGGTTTATGGAGGAGACCCGGGTGCCATGGCAGAGTGGATTAACAGTGTGTGTGTGTGTGTGTGTGTGTGTGATTGTGTGTGTGGTAGTGCCAAGGGGTCGTTCAGCTGTCGTGTTGGTGTTCATGACTCCCACAGGAAATGGATATGCCATGTGTAGGGAGGGTGAGGGTGTGTGTAGGGAGGGTGAATAGGGTCAGGATTGTTTCCCATCTTGCTGGGAGTGAGTGATAGTTCACGTTCTCCTTTTGGGAAAGAGACCCAGGCCTTTGTTTAGGACTTAGTAATGTAATATTTGATCAATATGTTGTTTTATTGTTTGCGATGTATACGTTTGATTATTTGGTTTATATTTATATAAAACTGGTTTATTTTGGCAAAGTATTTGAGAAATGTTCAATAAAGACTGAGTATCGTACACACACACACACACACACACACACACCGTTTGTCTACGGGCATGCCCTCAGACAGGGCAGCAGGTGCAGAAAAAGGATCAGACAGAGACTTAATGGATTTAGTATAAATATTTAAAATATTTTATAAGCCATCGTAAAAATCTCTCGACACTCAAAAGCAAAAAGCACTTCATTACAAAAGCTTACAAAAGAACCTCCTCGATTTCAAGTCCGTCCATTTCAATATCGACAAAAAAACAACATTTCATATTTTTAAAAAAGTTCAAAAGTTTTGACATTTACTTATTCAAATCGGTATTAAAACGGTTTTGCATGCAAGTTGACAGATATGAAAGACATTCTATCTCAGCACTGTGAAGCCTTGTGTACGTGGAAACATCTGCTAGTCCAATACAGTCCTGGTGAATCTATGGTGTGACAAAGTCAAACGTTACAGTCAGTATGACTAAGAACACAGTAGCAGTTTAAATCATGGAATACAGAACACTAGAATCCATCATCGGAACATTTAGAAGACTGGAATCATACAGAATTTTTATTTACACAGCAAACTGTCACGGCAACAACACCATCGTTTCCATTCCTTCAGAAAGCACCTTGGCAATACCGCCGTCACAGCAGGCAGAACACACACTTAGTAGTATTGCACAAACTACAGGCAGTATCACTTAAGACGACGTGCAGTGATCCTAGTAGTTCTGCCCCCCCCCCCCCTCCTCCTCCTCCTCCTCCTCCTCCTCCTCCTCCTCCTCCTCTCCTCTCCTCTTCCTTCTGTTTCAGTCCGAGGCAGGGTAGGGTTGGGTTGTGTTGCAACACTCAACAAGTCATCGTAAATGCTTTGACACTTTTATAGAACATGTCTGCCTCAACAGGTAGATCTGCTAACAGAGACTGAGGTCGAGTCCCTAATGGTATCCTTTTCCCTTTATAGTCCATAGGGTTCTGGTCAAAAGCAGTGCACTCTGTAGGGAATAGTATACCATTCGGGACACCCCCTAGGACTGGCTCGTATACAGTTAAACTGTCATATGGAATTATGTATATTTCCACTGTTATATCATTTAGAACCTGATTACACAACATGTTGACAGTTGGGCTCAGAACAGTAACGTATAGGTCTACAGGGAAGTCAGAGCAGTGAGTGGGTATGGAAGGATATGTGACTGGCTAGGAAACATACTATCGCTAGGATTCTGCGGTGTTGGGTTCAGTGGAACACTATTCACTGTGGATTCCATAGAATTAGAACTTATTTTGATTCTATGGTAGAAGCCATCATTGACGTCAGGTTCCGTTGGAATGAAACTATAGCGAACATTCTACTGATAAACCACAGATCATAGAATGTTTGTTTTAATGAACGTAACAGCAATAAAGATCAGCCTGGTGTTGGTATTGCAACTATGTGGCTAAACACACAACCACAGTAATGTCGACCTCAAGTGACCTCCTAGAATAACACAATGACGTAACAGTCTTCCAGGGAAATCAGCCCCTGTTGTTGTAGGTTTGGTTTACAATAGTTAGATTATACAGCGACTTCCACTGTAAAAACCATATCTTCATCTCTGTGTGTGTGTGTGTGTGTGTGTGTGTGTGTGTGTGTCACTCAGCCCTCTCTCACAACACAATATGTAACAACGACAGGTAAAACTCTGACACTGTGGAGCTTTACCTTCACATGTTCCAGTCACTGGAGTCACAAGTTGTCTTCACAAAGGCCTTTCACCAGCAGAAACAATCGTTGACAGTACAAAGTGTGTCATTTTCATTTAATTTCAATCCAACTTTAGTCTTCAGTGTTCTATTTTATAGTCTTTCACTCCAACAGCCAGAGTGTCTCTGTGTATCTAGAGTCATAGTGTCGTCATGGTGACTGCCTCTGCAGAGGACAGGTCACAGGTCAAAGTTCACAAAAGTTCCAAGGCCGCTCAGGAAGTACCACACCCACTTCCTGCCCCAAACAGGACGCAGGAAGAAGGATCGAGATCCAAAACTGTATGAAACGACGACAACTCGTTTTATAGTGCACTAACTTTGGACCAGAGCCACATCCTGGTCTTTGATCATCGTCGTTGTCCCGTTACCCACAATGCTTCAGCAGAGGGTCTTAAGTGCCCCGGAGGCGCAGAGCAGCGTCTGCATGTGGTAGGGGGGCGGCGACACCAGATCCTCCTCCACCGCTTGCTCCGCCCTGAAACTGAATGGCTGGAAGGGGACCTTCTTCTTCAGGATCTGGCCGATGCCCATAGAAGGGAACTTACTGCCGCGGTGATGGGGGCTGTCTGGCTCAACGTTGCCCCCGGAGGATGGCGGACTAAACGCAGATGACGGGTTAAGCGGGGAGAATGCTGATTTGGGCGGGGAGAAGGCTGAACCTCCTGGGGGGCTGCCGAAGGTGCTGGGGGGGCTACCGCTGGTGTCTGACCCAAACCAGTCACCCGAGTTAAAGGAGGACTTTTTGGGCTGGGGGTTGACGATGAGCACAGGGGGGCTGGGGATGGTCGCCTTTTTTAAGTAGGAGGAGTCAGGGTGAAAGGCGGAGACGTGTCGCGGAGGAGAGAAGGTCCCATTGGTCAGTTTGTACCAGGGCGTGGCCGAGGCAGGAACCACAACGTCGTCGATTGGCTCGGCTTTGGAGAGGGAGTCGTAGGAGTGCATGCCGATTGGAGAGGGAGCAGGGGGGGCGGGGATGTGGTCCGGGCTGGTATTGGCCGCCTGGAGAGTTTCGAGGCGCCTGATTGGCTGTGGCGTGCGGGGGAAGAGGGGGTGGATCTCCAGGTATTCCATGGAGGACGAGGCGACGGTGCCGGACGGGGCGAGAGGAGAGGCGCGGTGGAAGTTACCTGTCACCGCTCGCAGAAGAACTGAAAGAGAGAGAGAGAGAGAGAGAGAGAGAGAGACAGAGAGAGAGAGACAGAGAGAGACAGAGACAGAGACAGAGAGAGAGAGAGAGAGAGAGAGAGCGTGAGAGAGAGAGAGAGCGTGAGAGAGAGAGAGAGAGACAGAGAGAGAGACAGAGAGAGAGACAGAGAGAGAGAGAGAGAGAGAGAGAGAGAGAAAAGGGAATGTTAATGTCAACTGTCACTACAGACCACATTCTATAACATAAGTGTTACCCTCTGGGCTGACATGTATCCACCTGACCTGGGTTGAAATACATGTGTATCTGAGTATCTGGTATAAAAAAAACTTTTTCTGTGTATTTGGGTATTTTCAAATACACAGCCCAAAACAAGTACTTTTTTTTTGTATTTTAATGGTTATTTGTAAAAACCAAATATTCATTGCATTTAAGAGGATTTTCAAATACTTATTTCAAATACTATTTCCAAATTCCTGGGTAAATGCATGGGAGTGTATTTGAGCCAGTGTATTTAAATTGTTCATATACTTTTTAAGTGTTTTTCCAAATACATTACAATTTTCGACTACTTGTCTTTTCAAATAAAATATATCTGAATACTTACTTCGGGAATGTATGTGAAAATAATTGGATGTTTGAAATAGTATTTGAACCCAGGTCTGATATCCACACAATGGCTGTCTTTATACTGCTAAATAACATAATTCAGTCCATTACATCACATAACCCACAGAATGTAGTTTTATCCGTCTCTCTCCACCCCAAAACAAACACAACTCTAACTGTAAGTCTTCCCCAGTGCTAAGCCTAACCCATTCATATATTATCCCTACATCTGCCCCTGAGAACAGTACAGAACACTAGAGAACAGTACAGAACAACAGAACAGTAGAGACCAATAGAGAACACTAAAGAACACTAGAGAACATTACAGAACAGTAGAGAACATTAGAGAACACTAGAGAACATTAGAGAACAGAAGTCTTTAGTGTGACTGTGTGTAGTAACTGTCTTTAGGGTGACTGTGTGTAGTAGCTGTCTTTAGGGTGAGTATGTGTAGTAGCTGTCTTTAGGGTGAGTGTGTGTAGTAGCTGTCTTTAGGGTGAGTATGTGTAGTAGCTGTCTTTAGGGTGAGTGTGTGTAGTAGCTGTCTTTAGGGTGAGTGTGTATGGTAGCTGTGTTTAGGGTGAGTGTGTGTAGTAGCTGTCTTTAGGGTGAGTGTGTGTAGTAGCTGTCTTTAGGGTGAGTGTGTATGGTAGCTGTATTTAGGGTGAGTGTGTGTAGTAGCTGTCTTTAGGGTGAATGTGTGTAGTAGCTGTCTAGGGTGAGTGTGTGTAGTAGCTGTCTTTAGGGTGTGTGTGTAGTAGCTGTCTTTAGGTTGAGTGTGTGTGTGGTATCTGTCTTTAGGGTGAGTGTGTGTGTGGTAGCTGTCTTTAGGATGAGTGTGTGTAGTAGCTGTCTAGGGTGAGTGTGTGTAGTAGCTGTCTTTAGGTTGAGTGTGTGTAGTAGCTGTCTTTAGGTTGAGTGTGTGTAGTAGCTGTCTTTAGGGTGAGTGTGTGTAGTAGCTGTCTTTAGGGTGAGTGTGTATGGTAGCTATCTTTAGGTTGAGTATGTGTAGTAGCTGTCTTTAGGGTGAGTGTGTGTGTGGTAGCTGTCTTTAGGGTGAATGTGTGTAGTAGCTGTCTTTAGGGTGAGTGTGTGTGTGGTAGCTGTCTTTAGGGTGACTGTGTGTAGTAGCTGTCTAGGGTGAGTGTGTGTAGTAGCTGTCTTTAGGGTGAGTGTGTGTAGTAGCTGTCTTTAGGTTGAGTGTGTGTAGTAGCTGTCTTTAGGGTGAGTGTGTGTAGTAGCTGTCTTTAGGGTGAGTGTGTGTAGTAGCTGTCTTAAGGTTGAGTATGTGTAGTAGCTGTCTTTAGGGTGAGTGTGTGTAGTAGCTGTCTTTAGGGTGAGTGTGTATGGTAGCTGTCTTTAGGGTGAGTGTGTGTAGTAGCTATCTTTAGGGTGAGTGTGTATGGTAGCTGTCTTTAGGTTGAGTGTGTGTGGTCGCTGTCTTTAGGGTGAGTGTGTGTAGTAGCTGTCTTTAGGGTGAGTGTGTATGGTAGCTGTCTTTAGGGTGAGTGTGTGTGGTCGCTGTCTATAGGGTGAGTGTGTGTGGTCGCTGTCTTTAGGGTGAGTGTGTGTAGTAGCTGTCTTTAGGTTGAGTGTGTGTGGTCGCAGTCTTTAGGGTGAGTGTGTATGGTAGCTGTCTTTAGGGTGAGTGTTTGTGGTCGCTGTCTTTAGGGTGAGTGTGTGTAGTAGCTGTCTTTAGGGTGAGACAATATAATATATATTTGTCAGGAGGGAGAAATACACTACATGGCCTTCAAACACTACATGTGTTTCATTAGTGGATTTAGCTATTTCAGCCACAACCGTTGCTGTCAGGTGTATAAAATTGAGCACACCGCCATGCAATCTCCATAGACAAACATTGGCAGTCGAATGGCCCGTACTGATGAGCTTAGTGACTTTCAATGTGGCAGCGACATAGAATGCCACCTTTCCAACAAGTCAGTTCGTCAAATTTCGTCAAAGCCTAAGATCACCATGCGCAATGCCAAGCATCGGCTGGAGTGGTGTAAAGCTCGCCGCCATTGGACTCTGGAGCAGTGGAAACGTGTTCTCAGGAGTGAAGAATCACGGACGAATCTGGGTTTGGTGGATGCCAGGAGAAAGCTACCTGCCCCAATGCATAGTGCCGACTGTAAAGTTTGTTGGAGGAGGAATAATGGTCTGGGGCTGTTTTTCATGATTCGGACTAGGCCCCTTAGTTCCAGTGAAGGGAAATCTTAACGTTACAGCATACAATGACATTCTAGACGGTTCTGTGCTTCCAACTTTGTGGCAGCAGTTTGGGGAAGGTCCTTTCCTGTTTCAGCATGACAATGCCCCCGTGCACAAGGCAAGGTCCATACAGAAATGGTTTGTCGAGATTGGTGTGGAAGAACTTGACTGTCCTGCACAGAACCCTGACCTCACTAATGCTGTTGTGGCTGAATGGAAGCAAGTCCCCACAGCAATGTTCCAACATCTAGTGGAAAGCCTTCCCAGAAGAGTGGAGGCTGTTATAGCAGCAAAGGGTGGACCAACTCCATATTAATGGCCATGATTGCGGAATGAGACGTTCGACGAGTCAACAGAGGGTGACTTGGGAGAGAGAGGGGGAGAGAGAGGCGGCTGCAGCCAGAACAGGCCTGTACAGTTTTTAAACACTGTATCAACAGATCTACTCAGCTATGTCAGTAAAACGTCTTCCCTCTAGTAATATGCAAATATACTGTCCTAGTAATTTGGGTACCTGAGGCTGAGTTACGCAGTTCTTCTCTCTGTCATAACATGCAAATAAATACACTACTGTTCCATGGCCTTGCCCAGGGGCATTCAAATGTTACCCTACGAGGTCTTGATTACTGCTGCTTTTTGTAACAACGACGCTGTGCGTCGAGAAGCAGGTGCAGGTGAAACGTTTAATAAAACAACAAACGTGAACCGAGACCAGCGTAACCGTGGCGATATAGCACGGACACGGAAACAATACCGACTGAGGAATGAACGTGAGGGAGGGACAGATAAAGGGGAGGTAATGAGGAAGGCAATGGAGTCCAGGTGTGAATCATAATGATCTGCAGGTGCGCGTAATGATGGAACGCCAGGTGTGCGTAATGATAAATCCCAGGACCGGCGGTTAGTATTCCGGAAACATCGTACGCCGGAGGGAGCAGGGTGTAGACTTGACAGCTTTTCTGTTCTACCTGATCATTATTGCACCCACCTGGTGTCCCAGGTCTAAATCAGTCCCTGATTAGAGGGGGGGCTATGGGAGAAAATGCGGTGGAACTGGCTCCTCCTTCGTGCTAAGTTCTGCAGCCATGCTAGCCTTTGTACAACACCATCTTCACGTAAATAAACGTTCTGCTAGTATAATGTACATTCTGTAATAACTGGAGAAGGTCACACCGGTGTGATGATACACTGCACATAGGAACACAAGGGCCCATTTCAAGGTACGCCCAGTACTATGCTGGCTGTGTGTGTTGTGTGTGTTGTGTGGTCTCACCTCTCTTATGGGGATGAAAGGATGGGAGGGGTGGAGGTATGGAGGGGTGGCATCTAGGGTTGGGTGGTATCCAGATTTCCATACCTTCATACCGTGCCTTTGCCGTCCCGGTATATACGGTATTACCGGTAGTGCACACAAGGGGCGCTATTTTTTTTTTCAAAGGAAGAAAATCCCCAAAAAACGTCACTTACCAGAATGCTACCAAAATGCTAACAATGCTAGGTAAATGCTAACAATGTTAGGTAAATGCTAACGAGCGCATGCCAACATTTACTACTAGGCCAGACAATCCAGCTCATAGTTATGCAAGTATCTCAAAACGCACGCTAACGTTAGTCACTTAGCTAACATTAGCAAGTTAGCAAAACCCAGATGGAGAGAATTTATTTGGCACATTTTAGATAGTTAACTTATTAGTTAGAATATATATAGCTGGCAAATATTAGTAGTGAATTTAATACAACTTGATCATTTCACTGAAGTTTCACTGCAGGAGTGACTCACCTCACAAAGCTCCCATTTAGCTAATTGTGCTTCTTTGTAAACAAACGCATGTGACTGGCTCAAACCGCTGTTTTGGGAAACTAGTACCGGTAAGCTTCATAATGAAAAAGCATCATAATGACAAATTACCTAATGGGCGAAATAATGAACGCGATCTGCTTTATCTATTACCTAGTGCACAAGTTGACTGCAAGTATTTATTTAAAAAGTACTAATATTCAAAGGCCAAAAAACGTGACTTACCAGAATGCTAACAAAATGCTAACAAGTACTAAGGAATCCTCACAGAGAATGCTAACTAAATGCTAACGAGCGCATTGCAAACATTTTGTACAGTTTCTGACCTAAACTATACAAGTATACAAGTAACTCAAAAATGCTACACAGTTTGCTGCATGCACAAAACTAATATTAGCCAGCAAGGCTCTTGATCCAGTAGGGGATTCTCTGCTGTTACCAAGCGAATGCTTGAATTTGGAAGAAGCTAACCACTTAGCTATATAGCTAACTAGCTACTAAATGAGTAAACCAAATGCACAACTACAGAGCATTTAATACATTCTAGACCGTTAACTTAATAGCTGGCAAACATTTAGTTGTGAATTCCATACTGTAATTAGATAACCTGGCACATGCTGCACGACAGAGAGTGACTCACAAGGTTTCCGGTCTCTTGTCATCGTGTGCTTGTAAATAAACACCACGTGACTGGGGACTACTGTAAGCTACATAATAATGTGACAGGTGAAATGAAGAACGCAATGTACCTTTATCTCCTAACGTATTGCAGAAGTTGACTGCAGGTATTTACTTAAAAAGTAGCTACAAATATTCAAATAGTTTCAACTGTGTTTTGACGGTATTGAAAAACAATCCTGTGGCTTTCCCCAAATACCCCGGTATACCGCCCAGCCTTGTGGCATCAGCCATTGTTGTTGAGAGTAATCAGTGCTCCAGCTAATGAAAGGATTTCTGTTGAGAGGATATATGGGGAATATTTTACATTTTAAATTTTTTAGTCATTTAGCAGGCGCTCTTATCCAGAGCGACTTACAGTTAGTGAGTGCGTACATTTTCATACTGAATAGAGGGGAGTGTGTGGGTGCTTGTTTATTTGTGTGTGTGTATTCGCGTTCGTTTGCGTGCGTGTGTGTGTGTGCTCTCACCATTCCTGTGTTTCTTCTCCTTGCTAGGGCCCTTGCTGACGGCCAGGTAGACAGGAGTCTGTTTAGGAGGGATGGTGACCTTCTCTATGTGTTTCCTCCACTGGGTCTGGAAGTATTCATTCTTCTCTGTCTTCTTCTCTTTCTCTTGGTACACCTTTTCCTGGGGGACAGAAACGTTATTACAATGTTATTCCAAAGATATTCAAGCATTATTCTAGAGTTAAAAGCCTACTGCTTTTCCTGAAGAAAACATCGTATTACAATAAGCTCCGTTCTGTTGGGTTTTTCCTTGTATCTTGCTGCTATGTGTGTTGCTATTGAATGACCAGAGCTTTTCTTATCTTGTCCAGATTGAATTAGCAGCTCTTTGTCATGTCCTCCATTAGAAACTATTAGACAACAAAGGACGTAGCTACCACTATAATGTAGCTACCACTATAATATACTCCACGGTGTAGTGTGTTGAAAACGTACCCTGTACTCCACGGTGTAGTGTGATGAAAACGTACCCTCTACTCCATGGTGTAGTGTGATGAAAACGTACCCTGTACTCCACGGTGTAGTGTGATGAAAACGTACCCTGTACTCCACGGTGTAGTGTGATGAAAACGTACCCTCTACTCCACGGTGTATTGTGATGAAAACGTACCCTGTACTCCACGGTGTAGTGTGTTGAAAACGTACCCTGTACTCCACGGTGTATTGTGATGAAAACGTACCCTGTACTCCACGGTGTAGTGTGATGAAAACGTACCCTGTACTCCACGGTGTAGTGTGATGAAAACGTACCCTGTACTCCACGGTGTAGTGTGTTGAAAACGTACCCTGTACTCCACGGTGTAGTGTGATGAAAACGTACCCTGTACTCCACGGTGTAGTGTGATGAAAACGTACCCTGTACTCCACGGTGTAGTGTGTTGAAAACGTACCCTGTACTCCACGGTGTAGTGTGATGAAAACGTACC